TGCTTAAGAAAGGATGTGACAAACATTTTTTTTTCCAAGAAAAAGCACAACAAAATAGAGGTTAAGAGTTCTGAGCTCCTTCCCACCACCCAAGTGCAGGGACCACGTTCTGGGCAAGCACTCAAGCACTCCAGCAAACCCAAAGCAGCAGGAAAAGTGGTTCAATCTCTTGGAGCTTCACATACACGACACTCACACCAGGGTGCTCACTGGAAAATCTGGAATTTGGCTGAAAGCATAACATGCTTTCCTTGCTGAACAGTGGATTACAAAGGTGAACTTCACTACTGCCTCCAGTTGGCAAAGAGTAATTGCCATCACAGAGGCTGCATTTTGCACTGCTAGCTTGGGGCAGCAAAAAACCTTGTATTTACTGCAACAGGTATTAACTCAGTTTTACAGAGCAACTACCAAGGTTCTAATCTACTTTAACCCACAGTTTCTTTGCTGTGGATGTCAGAGCATCTGAACGGTGAAAAAACTCACCCACTAGGTCTGACAAAAATAGCTGCAGCTAATAAATAAGCAAACAATAGGCTAACAAAAAGCTAATAAGCAAACAATGATTCAGTCTTAGCGTACTGTTTTGACATTTAAATGATTTCTCCAGAACTCCCTTTGCCCCCCTCGCCAGACTCTGTGGAGAACAGACAAGGACATTTTTAACATTAAAGCACCGGCCTTTCAGAACGTGAGCTCCCCTCCTGCAGCACCACAAAACTGCACACCATCCCCATTCCGACACGTCCCGGTGTGAACAAGGAGGAACAAGCTCCTGTCTGCAGAAGCACGAGCCTGTCGGGAGCCCCAAATCCTGACTGACCAGCAGCAACCCGGACCTGCTTCAAAGCCCCACCGCGCCACGCCGGCTCGGTATCACTCTGAAGGAGCTTTTGAAGCAGACGTGCTATAGAAAGCAAGCAAATATCTGAAAATGCAGTGTAGTGAGAGGGCATTCTCTTCCTTTGAAGGGATAAATTAACAAAAGCACGCTATTCAGCTCTGTTAGGCCAAATGAACTACCACTCCTTCCTCGTCAGGGCTGGGATTAATCTTGGATTTCAAAAGCCTGTAAAATCGTGTAACAATATTAGTCCAGAGGCTCTCGCGGACCATTTGTTCTCAGATACATCAGCACTTTTTCAAATGAATGTGGAAGCGAGACTGGATAATGAGACCTGGGAAGAAGCAAAGGCTCTGGCTGCCCAGCACGGGGTTTGTGCTCATGGCAGCACCGGGCTCAGCGGAGCCCCAGGCCCACGTGGGACAAGCAAAGGCCTTGGGCAGGGCTGTGTGAACAGGAGATGGGGCTGCCTGCTCAACGCTGCCACTGGGACATCCCTGCTCATGATTATTGCTATTGCTTCTATCACAGCTTGACCCAGGATACCGCAAACACAGCCTTATAGAAGAAAAAAACGCCCATTCTAAGTAGTGAAGGTGTGCTTAAGGATGATCTGTTTATCAAATCTAGAGGATGGAGTCAACAGTCCATAAGCAATGTTTTTAAGAGGATTATCTACAACATATCCAGGTACTCGTACATTTGAGGTCTTTAAGACTGGCTCCCCAGATGTGCAGTAGGGAAAGACATTCTAAAAGCATGGAAGAAAAAGGGGACAAGAGAATTCTATCCCTCCCTCCTTCATATTGATCAGTTCCCTTAGCCACAGGCTGTGTACACTCACTGCTAAAAAAAAAAAAAAGTACCCTAAAATCACAGAGTACTTAAAACCAACATTCCATCACTTGCTTCTGCAAGTGATCCACTGCCACTGGTCACAAACAGACAACGGCCACCTGTGTGCTCATGAACCTGGCTGCTGTCTCTCCTGCTGACCGTGGTGTCTGTACCTGTGCAGTCCCTGCTCTGAACCTCTGTGAATTCTGCAAGCAGAAGGTAAGGAAAGGAAACACAGCACCATCACCTAACAACTGATATCCTTTGCTACCCCAAGCCAAGTGTGCCGCAATATTGTGATGCTGTACAAAGAGAAAACAGCTGGAACAGGTTGTTTATTATCAACAGCAGCTGATAATATTCCTGAGCAAGATATGGGTTGTAGGGAGTTTGCCTCGTTTTCCTCTTACAAGCAACTAAAATCCAGAAACACCAATTACAGACGATACGTTTCCGAAAAGGGAAAATGCATCTTCTCTCAAATTCGTCCGTACCTTTTTGTGGAAAGGAGAGAAAGCATCTCCATAAAGCCCCACCTTGTTGCTGACTGAACTCCATTCCACTCAACCCCATTCACTCCTGAAACAGATTCATAGAAATGCCCTAAACATTTCAATTCTATACTTGAGATGCTGCACGAGACAGAACAGAGTGTGCTTAGCACTTGGGTATTTTACATCCCTTGGCTACTTTTTTACAACAGAGCAGAACAGTGAACATGGATCAGACTTCTCCTTTGCTTGGTTTGTGGCAAAGAGAAAACATTTTGGTTTCCTATAAACTCACCACAATGATTTTATCTCAACTGTAAATGCAATACTGGGGATACAGGTTGCTCACCATCCTCTGCCACACAGCAGTGGGTTTATTCATCATGAGGGCTACAAATCAGTTGCTTTAACACAAGGGGATAAAGTTTGGAGGGGAATATCCCAGGACATGACTGAGCATTTTCTTTTTCCTTAAGCTGTTTTTCAACCCCATTATTTCAGCCATGCCTGAGACTTGGAGTAACACCCCACAAAACCAAATGCAACTTCCTTCTCCAAAGCAATACTTGGCATTTCTTTCCCTTTTCTTCTCTCAGACGGATCTGCATCAAACTTTCTATACGTAGTAATGACAAAAAACATAGAGGACAATGATTTGCTCACCATTATTCCATCAGTTCATTTAAAAAACTCATCAGGATACACAGGTATAGGCAGGCACCACACTTGAAAGCCAGCTGATAAGCCACTCAAAAGGTCAGTGGTATTTGTTTGCCATTACAAATTCACCAAAATACCTTTCTGCTTTTTGTCAGGCTCTGCTCCCACATTTTAAAATTAAATTAAAAATATAAGATGCACATTTCTGGCTCACATACATGCTGCAAGGCTGAGAAGATTTCTTCAGCAAAACCCAAGTTCAGGATCCCAAGTGAAAAGTACCAGGGCGACCGCTGATCAGAGCTGATGCTGCTTCTTGTGTAAGGTCACTTTTTCATTTCCCTCCCTTCAGGAGTCTCTCCTGCCCTGCACCCACCACACAGCCAGCATGAGCTAAGCTTTCAAGCATGAGACAGAAGTTTCTGTGGCTCAAATGCTGCTGGAAGTCATCTAAGAGAGTCATTGCTGCCTGTCTCACATTATGCCCACTTCACACGAGCACAGCTCTCCATTGATGTCTAGCTGCTTATTTTTCAGTAAGCAGAGAACTGAACTATTGAAAATACTCAAAATGCAGTACAAAAGGTAAGAATTCTATGAATCCTGAAGAGTTCATAGCCCTTTAAACAACCTCCTAGCATCTGGGGAACACAGAGCACGTCGAACTCTAGCATCAGGTTACCCAAGCTGTTTAACCAGCAGCACCCTTTGTCCTGAAATACCTCTAAAGAAAATGTGAAACACTACAAGCAACAATGAAATCAATTCCAAAATAGAGTAGAAGGCTAAAAGTCATCACACATTTATAATACTGCCCATTGATCTATTTACTGACAGAAGTTAGGAATGCGATCCCTCTTGTGCTCTTAAGCAGTCTCAGAAAATTCCATCTAGCACACACAGATACGAAATGGGTAGGAAAATCTTTAAGCTGACCTGTGTTATCAAGGAAGACTTAAAATGAGAGTTTCTCTCAGGTTTAGGAAAATTTAACCTGCCTTACTTGACAGACAAGCTTTGGAGCACATGCAGCAAAAAGAGATTTCTCCAAATGCAAAGCCAAACCTTCATAACTGGTAACAATGGTCTCTACTCTTCCCCCAGCGCAATAGCTCAACCTCCTTAAAGGTTTCCTTTCCCAGAAATGCATTTAAGTCCACAAAAATCTAGGTTAGATTGCAGCCCATTTCCCTCCTCCTGATCTACTGAAGTTGTTTTGAATATACTTCATTTACATTTTCCCAACTTGCATTACCAGAAGCTCTTACATCTTCTGCAAGATCTCTTCCTTAATATAAAAGGACCTAAAGGGATTTTGGAAGGTAATCAAGAAGAGAAAGCTGGGGTTTGGGAAAATTTGAGCTCCTACCTGGATAGTAGATGATGCTTCATATATCAAATCATCCCTAGTATAAATATTTCTATCAGTACGCACCTGGAAACAAAACACTTTTGGAAAAGAGAAGGCAGAAGTACAAAAGAAAGCAAGAGATTGCTTTTCATAGCATTTCATGTATTTTGGATGCAAACAGTTGCTTTTGTTTTTTGAAGTGCTCTAACTGTAAGCTGTAAGATTTCTCTCCTCTGCCCCGCAAGAAGCAGCCAACCTCCAAGACCAGCTTTGGCTGCTTTGCTTGCTTCATACCAGAAGGACGAGACACAGGAGACAGTGCAGCAGGATCATTAGGACAGGGAAGAAAAGCAAATAGCCAGGAGATCAGCATGATACGCTTTGATCAGCCTGAGTTTGGCTCCGACTTTTTACTCATTTCAACACAAGGAGATTTTTCCTTAATAGAAACTCAGAAAACCTACTTTGGTTTGCAGTTCTTTTAAGCTGTGAAAACTCTCATAGGGTGCTGCATGGATCTGCTGCTCCCTTCTTTAGAAGGACAACCGAGCAGCTCTGTCAGGCCAGCCTCCCCTTAGCTCCCTGCCGAGGGCTGGGGCTGAGTTATTTAAGCCTCCCAAGACTGCTGTGCTCTGTTCTCCCTCCATTCCCAAACCCCACTTGCCCAGCCTGGGAAAGTAGATGTGTGCAAGTTCTGACACACTTTGTTCCAGCGTACTGCATTTGCATTCGGCTCATTCACTTGTAAGACAGATCTGCATAACATTTTACTGCATTCCCAGAATAGGAGCAACATTTAATAAAAGTTTCTTCTTACCAGAGCTGGGCATGTGGTTCACTCTAGGTGGATTCAACAGCTCTACTGGCTGGTCTCTGCCAGAAAGCCCATCTGGAAAGAGAAAAAACATCACAACAACTCTTTGGTTAGCTGAGCTATTTTAGACATTCCAAGCAGAAAATAATAATAATAATAATAAATCACTAAGCAATCAGCAGTGAGAATCAGAAACACGCAAGTAACACAAATCAACAGAAACAAGAACGTTAACAGGACAGCAGCTGCCCAACAACTGCTTACACTACAGCAGAAAATAAAAGACTCCCAAACCACTCTCAGGTTTTCCCGGTCTTTAAATCCAACTGGTACTGCTCCCAACTCACAAAAACAGGCACGGCAGCTGATAAACCTTACCATACAATAGCTAAACAGCTACTCCTTCCTTCTTCAGGAGAACCGAGCAGAGTTAAGACAGAAACACATCCCTGGTGAAGCGAAGTTGAGGAATGGTTATAATATGCCAGGGAGATGCTAAGGAAAACTGGCAAATCACTGCAGGAGATTAAAATGCGCAGACATACATAACAAGTCCCATTTTGCATAAGTTTGGATTTCAGAAAGGCATTAAAAACATACTTTGTAAATGATATGCAGAAATCCATCGTGCTGAAGCAGTTCTCTATTTAAAATATTTCAAAGATTATATCTCGCATTCAAGTAGAGCTAAAACAGAAAAACATGATCCCTACTGCTGGAGACTGCCAGACCAGATTTTCTAGTCATCCACTCCCCTCCCCTCTGCCCCCCCAATAGGAGCTGAAGCATAAAAATGCTAAATTCAAGTAAGTGATGCTTCACTACAGTATGTTTCCAGTACTTCGGTTATGAATACTCCGTCTCAGATTGGTTTGTTCCACTGTAAATACCCACACCTTTGGCAGTTGTGTCTCACTTGATCTCCTCTAATGTGTTACCGTGCTGCAGCACAGATACCATCAGGCCAAACCCCGTCTGCAGACATCAAAGAAGCCACCCCATCTCTCAGTCAAAGCCAAGTTCAGTACTATGAAACGTTACGCTGTTGGTGGAATGTTAAAAAAGAAAACAACACAAGTCACACTTTGTTTTCTTCTCCCTGTTTGCACCAGTTTGGACTCCTGGACAGAAAGAGTGGCTGGGTCTTCTCCATCACTTGCATGGCTTTGCCTCCACTGCCAACACCCAAGCATCGGTGCTGCCCCAGGCAATAAGTAAATGAACCAAACTACCAAGCCATGCTGTGCTTTCCTTCCCAAGCAAGTAATTACTGTCCTGCAGATAAAACAGGTTGTTCCCATCACACATTATTTGCTTTTGGATTGTTACCATGAGACCAACAGCACAGCTGGGGCAGACAGCCCCGTGTCTACAAGCAGTGGGATGTGCATGGAGCAGACCCAAGTGACACAAGGCTTTATTTTGGTCTGTGGACTTGCTCCCACATTGCTGTGTGTGCTGAGTGTCACCAGAGCATCAGAGATCACCGACACGTGTGTTGGTGAGTGGGGATTTAAGAGCCGTGTCTGCTTTTAATTCTAAGAATCGGAGTATCTACATTTTCAATTAACTGAAAAACCCAAACCAAGAGTCTCTTCGATCTCTGCTGCAAAATGAATGATAATCACAGAAAAACACGAATGTTTTGCAGTCTAAATAATCGAACCAGGCAAGACAGAGGTTCTGTACTCTCTACACTGACTGACAAAGAAAGGCTCCATTTGTAAGGAGCAAATATTTGCACCAAGCACCTCTTCTCCTAGTCTACCAGTAATGATAAAAGAGGTTCAAGCAGGGTTTGAACATGCACACTTATTGAGGGGTGAGCTAGCTCACAGCCAGAGCATGCACCTGACCATCCTGACACAAGAAATAATGCACCACCAGCTCAGCTTCCTACAGCCACCTAGAGATCCTGCAAGAAGCAAAGGGTCCATTTCAAGAGAATGGGTGAACAGTTTGTTCAGAAAGTCAAAAGAACTCTGCATTTAATGAAGCATCTGATCTGCTATTACTGCTGTGCTGTTTTCTTCTTACCACCATTACCGAAGCCTCTCTCCTAAATCAGCTGCTACATAACTGACTCCTGTGTAAGAAGAAATGCATGATGTTTTATGCCAATACTTCTGAGGAAGCAATAAGATAAAGATTGGTCTGGGTCTGCAAATGCCAAAATGAATACCATCGGTTTCTGTCACAAAAATAAAAGCTTTTCCCCCCACTCCCTCCTTCCCAAAGAATTCAGCTCCAACCCTCTAGAAGCTTCACCGTGCATTTCTAGAGACAGCTTTGGCAATTACAGAACTAAAAAAAAAAAACAGACAGAAGATGCTAAAAATATCTGTGCCACACACACAGATCTCCAGTTTTGTCCTTGCTATTGCCTGGAGGGGATCACAGGGTGCTTCTGCAATGCTGAAAACCTGGGCAGGGATGGGAAGCAGCTTGTCTCACTGCTGCAGAAGGGCAGCAAAGAACATGCACAGAGGGCAAGCTGTGCAATCACTGCTCGGCACTTCTACCAGCCACAACCTAGCAGCTACACACAGTAGCACAAAGCAGATTACCTACGAAATACTTTCAGTCTCTCTACTAGACAAGTGTTTCCTGAGATACTAAAAAGAAATGCCAAGAAAATGCAATCTTGAATGGGTTGTAGATGACTCCACCTAACAGGCAGCACCCCCAGGCAAAGCCAGCTGTCCCAGCCATGTGGGAGCCCTGCACCCTGCACACAAACCCCAGGCTGGCTGCACGCAGGAGATGCCAGAAGCGATGCTGCAGACCTTCCAGCCCAAAGCCAGGCAACAAGGAGATGTGCTGCAGCATCCAGCAGGTCTGCAAGGAGGCACACGTCTCACTGATGGCTCAGGTTAGATGAGATTTAGCACGGCTTCATTTTCAAAGGGGTAATTCTACTCACTAATTAATGAGATGAAGCTATTATTCATTGACGGGGACTTGAACGTTTCATTTTTATCACAGCCCGTCCTGAAGCGTTCCAAGGAGTTACTTTAAAATATATCCAGGTCACTTTCTGAAGTAGCTGGGCTTGCAGGATTTAACCTCCTTGAAAAGAGCAAAACAAAGACAAGATGGCTACAGTACACACAGAATAACAGGGAGAAACCTGCATGGATAGAAGCCTCCAGAAAAGATGAAGAAGCCAAATGAACTAGAACAACATCCAAGGTGAAACCAGATTAGACAAGGGCAGGGAAGTGCAGCTTTATTCCTTCTCCCCACTAAAAGAAGGGCAGATGATGAACGAAACAGAAGGCTGAAGCACTCAGTTCACTTCCACCAGAAAACTGAATGCAGCCTTCCTATAATTAACTCTGATGAGCGAAAAAAATGCGGGGCAGAACTGGAAAAGGTTATTTAAATAGCTTTTCAAGTATACAGATCTTTAGGCCTGATGCAAATCAGCCTGCTCTACTTGAACTCCCCAAGCTAAGTGATGAACAACCACCAGTTGTCTTTAAAGACCTCCCAGAGAACAGGGAAAGTCCTAAAGAGACACACAGGCAGATTCTGAGGGAAGGTGGGAAACAATTACAGTAAATAGGAGTTATTTCTGTCTTCCAGAAAGAAAGGAGGTGGCAGCACAGGGATTCGTGCAGCCAATGGATGGAGGTGAAGCTGAAGGCAATTACCCAGTGTTGTCAGTGTGTCAGCCCAGTAAAATGGTGGTTTTTAAAAGATGTTACTTTGTATTTTGGGGGATTTTACCCAGGATTCATAAAAAACTTTGAAAGGTTTCAATGGGCACATTATTAAAGAAGTCAGGTCTGCATGAATCACCCTAAAGCAAGCACAAATCTACTTAAAAAGCCCATTCAGTCATCATCTGCTTTTAGATGGATTATACCCAGCACGGTGTGGTAGTTCACTATTTAATGACAATGCATTAAAGTTGCATTTAGATCTCAGACCTGACATCACACCACAGAGGTCACACTTGGGAGCACGGCAAGAAGAATTCGATGACAAGCTGGCGAACGGGTGCAAGGCTCGATCAGAAATGGGCAGATCCCTCCCACCTAAATAACAATAATGGTTAAACGCAGAATTACAGGATGAGCAATACCCGGCCAAGAAACAATACAACAAAAAAGAAGCTCTTTGCAAACTGAGAATCCACCGCTTGGCAGCGATGCAGAAGACACAAGTTCATTCCAGGATGCATTAGCAGGCACATATGCAAGACACGGGAGGTAATTACTCAGAGACGTGACAGCCTGCTCGGCAAAAGCACTGCCCTTGGTTTTAGAAGATGAATTGCAGGCAATCAAGGAGAAACCTCTGAGAAAACACTTGAGAAAAGTTGGCATCTAAGAGAATATCCCAACCACATCCTTTCAAGAGCGTGCATCCACATTTAAAATTCAGCTTCTGCTACGGTCTCTGCAGAGAGAAGGGATGTTTCTGGATCAATGACTCCTGAATTTATATTTGTCATCGAGCAAATAACTACCTTGCTCTCTTTACTGCTTTCTAGCAAAGCAGTTGTGAGCTTGTCTTACAAAGGAGAGGAAGAGACCCATTCCCCTTCTCCCCAGGCCCACAAGGATCCTGCTTTAAGGTACAACCAACAGACACTTGAATGCAGCAACACACAGAACTGCTTGAAGGCAGATGACCAGCCTCGTATCCATCCTTACCAAAGATGGAGACCAACCTTGTACATGACAGCAATAGGACAAGGGGGACCATTTTAAACTAAAAACTGCAGGTTTATGTTAGATGTTGGAAGAAATTCTTCACTCAAAGGGCGGTGAGATGATGGCACTGCTGCCCAGAGCTGCTCAGGGCCAGGCTGGATGGGGCCCTGGGCAGCCTGATCTGCGGGGACAACCAGCCTAAAGCAGGGGTTGAGACTGGGTGAGCTCTAAGGTCTCTTCCAACCCAACCTATGATTCTTTGATAAGAGCTCAGTATGCCTGACCAGCACCACATCCATAGCCTGTAAGAAGAGAAGCAGGGTGGTGGCAGGTCCCCCTCCATCTGCATGCCGCCCTGCAACTGCAGAGGGCCTACAGCCAGCCCCAGGCTGCGTTCCTGGCCGTGCTTCT